ACTTACTTCGGTATACTTAAACTATAGTGAACAGTGATACGGTGAATAGTGAACGGTAACAAAACAGGCATAAAGGCTTGAAGTGAAGGAAAATTGCCACGTGGAAAATTTGAAACGTATAATTCAGTGAATAGTGAGGCAACACACACACACCAGACTCTGTGTACAGGGGCCACGAGGCTTGGTCTGTGTACACACTCGGTGTACAGGGGCCACGAGGCTTGGTCTGTGTACACACTCGGTGTACAGGGGCCACGAGGCTTGGTCTGTGTACACACTCGGTGTACAGGGGCCACGAGGCTTGGTCTGTGTACACACTCGGTGTACAGGGGCCACGAGGCTTGGTCTGTGTACACACTCGGTGTACAGGGGCCACGAGGCTTGGTCTGTGTACACACTCGGTGTACAGGGGCCACGAGGCTTGGTCTGTGTACACACTCGGTGTACAGGGGCCACGAGGCTTGGTCTGTGTACACACTCGGTAGGTTGTGAAGGGTCACCCCCCCCCCCCACCCTTTACCACTAGTCAACAACCAACGGTCCACTCTCTTACCACCACCACCACTGGCCAGAAGCATTATGGTCAGAATGCCTTTAGTAAAGATGTGCACAGAATGCAACAAGGGGAGCCGGTCGGCCGAGCGGACAGCACACTGGATTTGTGATCCTGTGGTCCCGGGTTCGATCCCGGGCGCCGGAGAGAAACAATGGGAAGAGTTTCTTTCACCCTATGCCCCTATTACCTAGCAGTAAAATAGGTACCTGGGCGTTAATCAGCTGTCACGGGCTGCTTCCTGGGGGTGGAGGCCTGGTCGAGGACCGGGCCGCGGGGACACTAAAAAGCCCCGAAATCATCTCAAGATAACCTCAAGAAGGAAGTAGATTACCACCAGAGCTTCCAGTGCCAACTATGTTCAGCTATGTTCATACACAGTAAATGTGCCAACATGTCAAATAACGTCAGGATAATTGGTCCCAGAGACCATTCGGTGTACTGGTTCTGCAAAAAGGATAATATTATTGTCTTGAAGATGACCTCAGTTCTTGATAAAACCCCAGCAGAGCACAGAGAATCACTTCTAACTGCTTGCACGGAAATCTCCAATGTTTTCAAACAAATTGTCATGGACACCCAGGCAGAACCAGAACTGGAGCTACATCTCACCGCACCGGGATCTGGATTGGCGCCAGAGCCGGATGCTACGTTGGCGTCGGTGCCGGATGCAATGTTGGCGCCGGGGCCGGATGCTATGCTGGCGTAGGACGCGACGTTGTGGTCGGGCACGGTATCGGCGCCTGAACCAGGCGCAATATTGGCGCCAGGGCTTTTTAAACAAACAAAACAAGGACCCAAAATCTGCCAATATTATAAATGGGGTTTCTGTAAACATGGGATATCGGGGAGAACAAATGGATTATGTAAATATGATCATCCCAGAAAGTGCAGGACCCTTCTTAGTACAGGTAAATGTACCAAAAGCTGTGATCTCTTTCACCCAGAACTGTGCAAGAACTCTTTAAATAAGAATGAATGTTTCAACACAGAATGTCCAGCTTTTCATATAAAAGGTACCAAGCGAATAAGACCGACAAACCACCTCGATGAAAGCAGCCACAACACTATTTACCAGGATGATTTTTTAGCAAGAGGAGGACAAGAATGGCTAAAAATGTCCAGAATCTACCACCAACTCGGCCAAATGCTAGAGAGGACGCAAACACAGTGGCCTCCATGCCAGAGCCTCAGATATTAACACCAAGTAAAGCATCCAGCACTTCCACAAACATAACATCATTTTTATTTGCCAACATTCCGGGTATAAAAACACGCAAATCTAACAAAGTGCACTTCAGAGATGACCTCCTACATGAGGCAAATGCAGTGTTTGCAGCCCTAACGGAAACTCACACCAAGGACTACCATGATGGTGAAATATCGATTTCGGAGTACAATCTTTCCAGATGTGACAGGAAACACCGGCTACAGGGTGGGGTCAGCCTGTACATCAAGCACACATTCATCTGCACTGAGCTGCTAAACACCACAAACGATATGGTGGAAGTGCTGATAATCAAAACAGAGATCTTAAATGTAGTTATTGTTCTCATATATAAGTCACCAGAGGCAACTCATCAGCAGTTTAAAGACCAACTAATGAAAATAGAACATGGCTAGGAAAACATCACAAATCCAGCCCCAAACATCATCCTGCTTGGGGGACTTCAACCTACGGCACCTGAAATGGAAGACCATAGCTAATACAGTTGTATCCGAGAGAATTCCGGGAAGTAGCCTAAATGTACAGTCACATGCAAATGACCTGTTAAGGATGTGCGACAGATTTGCCTTAAACCAGCAAATAGTAGAACCAACTAGGAAAGAGAACACGCTGGACCTCATTTTCACTAATAATGAATTGATCAGGAACATAATGATTATAAATACCTATTACTCAGATCACAACTTAATTGAAGTTCTGACAAGCATGGAGAATAGACCTTCAAAACCAGTCCAGATTCCCGGTGGAGGAGATTTCAGCAAATTCAACTTCAATAAACAGATAAACTGGGAGCAAATAAACCAAGACTTCACAGAAATAAGCTGGGAAGAACAGCTAGAAAATGCAAACCTGAACCAGTGCCTGGAAAAAATAAGCTCAGTAGCACCAGAAATATGCTCAAACCGCATACCCCTAAGAAAAAAAAAGAGGAAGAGATGCAAATTGGAACGGGAACGTCGTTCCCTATATAGGCGAAGAAAACGAATTGCGGAACAACTTGAGAGTCGCACCCTATCTCAAGAACGGCGAAGAAGGTTAGGTAGAGAAATAGAAAGATTTGAACTAAAGCTACAAGAATCATACAAAACCCAGGAGAGGCAAAAGAGAGCAAAAGGCCATCAGTGAAATAGAGAGAAATCAGAAATAATTTTCTCCGATGCAAAATCAAGATAAAAAACCACATCTAGCATCGGGCCCCTGCAAAAGGGAGATGGAACTTTCACAGATGACAACAAAGAAATGAGCGAAATAATGAGGAATCAATATGACTCTTTTCAGCGAACCACTAAACACACTAAAGATTGATAATCAAAAGAAATTTTTCATGGATGTGATACCAACATCAAATCATGTATCAGATGTCACCCTATCCCCACTGGATTTTGAAGAAGCCATAGACAGTATGCCTATGCACTCTGCACCAGGCCCTAATTCTTGGAACTCCATATTCATCAAGAATTGTAAAAAAAAAAACTATCGCAGGCCCTTCACATTCTTTGGAGACAAAGCCTAGATACTGGCATTATCCCTGATATAGTAAAAACAGCAGAGATATCACCACTCCATAAAGGAGGAAATAAGGCAAGAGGCAAAAAATTACAGACCGATAGCACTGCCCGAAACGCTTTGCGTAATAGTGGCTTTAGGCATTGTATGTACTAGCTCTATCTATAAAGCCAACAAACTTTGTAGAATCTCTTTATGTATGTACCTTACCTAAATAAAAATTATTATTATTATTATTATACTAACATCACACATCATAAAAATCTTTGAGAGAGTGCTAAGAAGTAAGATCACAAAATACATGGAATCACAGCATCTCCATAACCCCAAACAACATGATTTTAGAACAGGGCGCTCTTGCCTATCACAGTTGCTGGACCACTATGACATGGCACTAGATGCCATGGAAGACAAACAAAACGCTGATGTAATTTACACAGATTTCGCAAAAACTTTCGACAAACGTGACTATGATGGTATTCACACAAAATGCGTTCAAAAGGAATTACAGGAAAAATAGGCAGATGGATCTATAATTTCCTGACTAATAGAACCCAATGTGTAATAGTCAAGAAAATAAAATCCGGTCCATCAACCGTGAAGAGCTCAGTCCCCCAGGGTACTGTGCTTGCTACAGTACTTTTTCTCATCCTCATATCGGACACAGACAAGGACACAACCTACAGTACTTTATCATCCTTTGCAGATGACACTAGGATTTTTATGAGAGTAGACAACATAGAGGACACGGCAAACCTCCAATCAGACGTAAAATCAGATCTTTCTATGGGTTATAGAAAATAATATGGTGTTTAACGAAGATAAGTTCCAGCTCATGCGATACGGAAAAAAATAAAAATATAAAAACGGAAACCACGTACAAAACGCAGTCAAATCATAACAGAACGAAGAGGCAATGTAAAGGATCTGGGTGTACTCACGTCGGAAGACCTTACATTTAAAGAACACAATAAAGTAGCCGTCACAACTGCAAGAAAAATGACAGGTTGGATAACAAGAACCTTTCACTAGAGGTGCTATACCGATGATGATACTTTTCAAGATGCTAGTGCTCTCTAGAGTGGAATACTGCTGCACAATGACAGCCCCTTTCAAAGCTGGAGAAATTGCTGACCTAGAGAGCGTGCAGAGATCCTTTAATGCTAAAATCCACTCAGTAAAACATCTAAACTATTGGGACCGACTAAAAGAGCCTAAATCTGTATTCCCTTGAGTGCAGGCGGGAGAGATACATAATAATTTACACATGGAAAATAGTAGAGGGGCTGGTCCCAAACCTGCACACAGATATAACATCACATGAGACCAGAAGGCATGGCAGGATGTGCAGAATACCCCCGTTGAAAAGTAGAGGTGCAACAGGTACTCTGAGAGAGAACTCTATCAACATCAGAGGTCCAAGACTGTTCAACACGCTTCCGCTACGCATAAGGGACATAACTGGCCGACCCCTCACAGTGTTTAAGAGAGAACTTGACAAGCGCCTCCAAAGGATACCTGATCAACCAGGCTGTGACTCATACGTCAGGCTGCGAGCAGCCGTGTCCAACAACCTGGATGACCAGTCCAGCAACAAGGAGGCCTGGTCGACGACCGGGCCGCGGGGTTGCTGAGCCCCGAAATCACTTTAATGTAACTCAAGGTAGCTTTGAGACGATCCCAATAATTTAGGTGCTTTTTTCGCGTCTATGAATGCCGTACATGTTCTCTGTATTTCCTGTTTCAGCAAACTCTCTTGCTCTGAAGAGGTGAGTGAGTACTGAGCAGTACTCAAGACTGGACAGCATAAGTGATTTGAATAGTACAATCATTATGATGGGATCCCTGGATTTGAACGTTCTCGTAATCCTTCCTATCATTGTTCTGGCTGATGCTGATGCAATATTTGCTTGGTTATGCTCCCTAAATGTTAGACTGTCAGACATCATTATTCCCAAATTCTTTACATCCTGCTTTCCTACTATGGGCAGATTTGATTGTGTTTTGTACCCTGTATTATGTTTAAGGTCCTCATTTTTACCGTAACTGAGTACCTGGAATTTATCGCTGTTAAACATCATGTTATTTTCTGTTACCCAGTCGAAAGCTTTATTAATATCTGCTTTAAGTTTTTCAATGTCTTCAGCAGAGGTGATTTTCATGCTGATTGTTGTGTCATCCGCAAAGGATGATACGAAACTGACTTGTATTTGAGTCTATATCTGATATGAGAATAAGGAAAAGCAGCGGTGCAAGGATTGTACCCTGAGGTACAAAGCTTTTAACTGCGCTTGGACTCGATTTTACATGGTTGACTGTTACTCTTTATATTCTGTTCGACAAAAACTGAGTATCCAGCGTCCTTCTTAACCGGTTATTTGCACTGACCTCATTTTGTGTGCTATCACTCCATGGTCACATTTATCGAATGCCTTTACAAAGTCTGTGTAAACCATATCTGCATTCTGTTTTTCTTCTAATGCCTCAGTGACTTTGTCGTAGTGGTCAAGTAGCTGTGAGAGGCACGATCTTCCTGCTCTAAATCCATGTTGGCCTGGGTTGTGAAGGTCATTGGTGTCCATGAAACTAGTAACCTGACTCCTGATCACTCTCAAATACTTTTATTCTGTGAGACGTTATTGCAACTGGTCTATAATTCTTTGCCAATGCTTTGCTACCTCCCTTGTGTAGAGGAGCTATGTCTGCATATTTAAGTGCATCTGGTATCTCCCCCGTGTCTAAGCTCCTTCCTCCACACTATACTGAGTGCCTATGCTACCGGCACCTTGCACTTCTTCATAAATATTTAATTCCACAAATCTGGACGAGGAGCTGAATGCATGGGCATGTTGTCAATTTCTCTTTCAAAATCTGCCACGTTCGTGTTGATATCAGTTATATTTACAGGAATTTGGATATCACGCATGAAGAACTTGTCCGGATGTTCTACTTTCATGCTGTTTATTGGAGTGCTAAACATGTCCTCATACTGCTTTTTTTAGGATTTCACTAATTTCTTTGTCATCTTCAGTGTATGAACCTTCAATCGTATAAATAGGTCCAAATACTGGTAGTGGATTTTGCGTTTGATTTCGCATATGTGAAGAAATATTTTGGGTTTTTCTTTATTTCTTGAACTGCTTTCTATTCTAGTTGCCTTTCTTCAATGTTATGAGTATTTCAGTTTCTGCTCGACTTCTTCAATCTCCCTGTTTAAATTATTCCTTCTTTATAGTGAAAGTCATATCTGCCTAAGCATTTCTGTTATTTTTTGTCCTTCCTTTATGGTATCGTCTGCGTTCTCTTTCTACGTTGTACCTCTTTCTGGCTTTCCTCTTAGGAACATCTTTCAGACAGACTTTATATGCTTCTGAAGTCAGTTTTTCTATTCTGTAGGATTTTTATTACTTACAAGAGTTTCCCATGGAATGTTTGTAAGGTCCCTGTTTATTTTCTCCCAGTCTATCTTTCTTATTATTAAAATTGAATTTACTGAATAACCCTCTCGCTTGATCATTGTTTTAGGTCTATCCTGAGTACTGATGGTAGTTTAAACTTCAATGAGCTTGTTATCTATGTGGTATCTGAGATCGTAATGACCCTGATTATGTCTTCATTGTTTATGAAGACCAGATCTACAATATTTCGTTTCTAGTTGGCTCTGATATCGGCTGGTTGAGTGATAATTTGTCACAGAATCTTACCAGTTCTCTACTCTGTGGTTGGTTATGTCCAGATAGATTTCCTGGTATAATATTATTGTTTGCTATTCTCCATCTTAGATTAGGCAGGTTGAAGTCACCTAAGAAGATAATATCAGGAACTGGGTTTGCCAAATTATCAAAGCTATTCTTTATTTTGTTTTCTATTCTGTGGATTCCTCGACCGTTGCTTCTGGCGGTTTGTATATTAGAATAATAACTAAGTTTATTCTTTCTATTTTTACTCCCAGTACCTCTACCACCTCATTTATAGAGTCAAGGAGTTCCGAGCATGCAAGGTCTTCCCTAATATACAGACCCACTCCTCCATGTGACATATTTACCCTATCACACCTGTATAGATTATATCCAGATATCCAGATCTCACTGTCCAAGAATTCCCTTTAATGAGTTCTGTGAAAGCTCCAAATACCGCATTTGACTCATTGAGAAGACCATTTATGAACGGCACTTTGTTTTTTGTTCTTGTTTTTAGTTCTTGTATGTTGGCAAAGGTGAATAAGGTTACTCTATTTGGGAGAGTTTAACTGGGAGACTTTTTTGGCAGGTCCATTATGCGTGGACATGTCAAGTTTGTTTTGACCAGTGCTGAGTGTTTGAGGCTGACACATCTGTCTGTTCGAGGCTGAAACATCTGTCTGTTCGAGGTTGAAACATCTGTCTGTTCGAGGTTGACACATCTGTCTGTTCGAGGTTGAAACATCTGTCTGTTCGAGGTAGGAGAGGAGACGGGGGAAGAGAGGGAAGGTAGGTATATGGGCGGTATTCACCTAGTTGTGCTTGCGGGGGTTGAGCTCTGCCCTTTCGGCCCGCCTCTCAACTGTCAATCAACTGTTACTAAGTACTAACTAATTATTCTTTTCCCACACACATGCCCAGGAAGCAGCCCGTAACAGGTGTCCAACTCCTAGGTACCTATTTACTGCTAAGTAACAGAGGCATCAGGGTGAAAGAAACTTTGCCCATTTTTGTTTCTTGCCGGCGCCGGGAATCGAACCCGGGCCACAGAATTACGTGTCCAGCGTGCTGCCCACACGACCAAAATCGTCCCGCCGTGAAGGGCAAAAGGAGAAGGTTGGGTACAAAATGGGGAAGAAGGGAGTGAAGAGTGACGGAGGAGAGTGGGAGAGAAGGGAAAGGGAAAGTGAGAATAAAAAGGTAATGGGAGGGGTTGTAGGCGAAGAGAAGGGGGGGGGGGGGGAGCGGTAAAAATGTCGAGGGGGGAAGGGAGGAGTCAGAGTGACCCGAGCACCGCCGGCTAATCTTACATCCCCGTGGACAACACAATTGTAATCACACTAACAAAAACACCACCGACAAGCAACATAATCTACAAAAAACAAACACACAACAAGGAACTATTAGAGAAACAAACAAACTGGAGACAAAGGAGGAGCGCGAGAGAACTCCAAACAAATACAAGCAACAAAGATCTTAACCGGCTGAGAAACACAACGACTTCAGAAGGTCAAGACTGTGGTGACCTGTGTGATCTAGGTCGTGGGGGGAGGGGGGGGGACGGAAGGGGGGGGGGGGGGAAGAAGGGGGGGACAGAAAGGGGGGGGGGACGGATTGGGGGGCGGAGGGGGGAGAAAAGACAAGGAGACAGACATACACACAGAGAAGATATAGATGAGACAGACGGAGATAGATAACAGACAGACTGAGACAGAGACAGAGGAGACAGACAGACAGACACAGAGACTGAGGAGAGTGAGCACAAACACAAACAGGTTAAACAATAAAGAGCACACACATACCGGGACAAAAAACCCACCGGGGCTCGCAAACAAACACACAACATAGACACAATTCTTGGCATTATTTGTATCTTCATAACATTTGGGGCTCAAAACATCTCCAAAACATCCTTGAGAGTACAACGATTGTAAGTCTTTTTTGTCTTTTAGAATGTTTGGTGTTTGGGGAGGTAGGGGGGGGGGTGCAGGAGGAGGAGGAGGAGGAAAAAGAGAAAGGAAGAAGGAGGAGAAGGAGGAGGCGGAAGAGGAGGAGGAGGCGGAAGAGGAGGAGGAGGAGGTAGAGGGTGAGGACGAAGAGGGTGAGGAGGAAGGGGGAAAAGGAGGAGGAGGAGGAGGAGGAGGAGGAGGAGGAGGAGGAGGAGGAGGAGGAGGAGAAGAACAGAACAGAACCTCAGTGTGTAATAATCACCAAAGTAAACTCTACCATCAACCGTGAAGAGTTCAGTACCCCAGGGTACTGTGCTTGCTCCAGTAGTCTTTCAGTCCCTCAGGGCACTGTGCTTGCTCCAGTAGTCTTTCAGTCCCTCAGGGCACTGTGCTTGCTCCAGTAGTCTTTCAGTCCCTCAGGGCACTGTGCTTGCTCCAGTAGTCTTTCAATCCCTCAGGGCACTGTTCTTGCTCCAGTAGTCTTTCAGTCCCTCAGGGCACTGTGCTTGCTCCAGTAGTCTTTCAGTCCCTCAGGGCACTGTTCTTGCTCCAGCAGTCTTTCAGTCCCTCAGGGCACTGTTCTTGCTCCAGTAGTCTTTCAGTCCCTCAGGGCACTGTTCTTGCTCCAGTAGTCTTTCAGTCCCTCAGGGCACTGTTCTTGCTCCAGCAGTCTTTCAGTCCCTCAGGGCACTGTGCTTGCTCCAGTAGTCTTTCAGTCCCTCAGGGCACTGTGCTTGCTCCAGTAGTCTTTCAGTCCCTCAGGGCACTGTGCTTGCTCCAGTAGTCTTTCAGTCCCTCAGGGCACTGTTCTTGCTCCAGCAGTCTTTCAGTCCCTCAGGGCACTGTTCTTGCTCCAGTAGTCTTTCAGTCCCTCAGGGCACTGTTCTTGCTCCAGTAGTCTTTCAGTCCCTCAGGGCACTGTTCTTGCTCCAACAGTCTTTCAGTCCCTCAGGGCACTGTGCTTGCTCCAGTAGTCTTTCAGTCCCTCAGGGCACTGTGCTTGCTCCAGTAGTCTTTCAGTCCCTCAGGGCACTGTGCTTGCTCCAGTAGTCTTTCAGTCCCTCAGGGCACTGTGCTTGCTCCAGTAGTCTTTCAGTCCCTCAGGGCACTGTGCTTGCTCCAGTAGTCTTTCAGTTGTCTCTAACGAACCTGGGCCGCCCCCAGGTTCGTTAAAGCCGCGCCCGCTCTCAGGTTCGTTAAATCAGCGGCCGCCCCCAAGTTCGTTAAGTCAGCGGCCGCCCTCAGGTTCGTTAAGGCAGCGGCCGCCCCCAGGTTCGTTAAGGCAGCTGCCGCCCCCAGGTTCGTTAAGGCAGCGGCCGCCCGCAGGTTCGTTAAGGCAGTGGCCTCCACCAGGTTCGTTAAGGCAGCGGCCGCCTTCAGGTTCGTTAAAGCAGCGCCCGCTCTCAGGTTCGTTAAATCAGCGGCCGCCCCCAAGTTCGTTAAGTCAGCGGCCGCCCTCAGGTTCGTTAAGGCAGTGGCCGCCCCCAGGTTCGTTAAGGCAGCGGCCGCCCCCAGGTTCGTTAAGGCAGCGGCCGCCCCCAGGTTCGTTAAGGCAGCGGCCGCCCCCAGGTTCGTTAAGGCAGTGGCCGCCCCCAGGTTCGTTAAGGCAGCGGCCGCCACCAGGTTCGTTAAGGCAGTGGCCGCCCCCAGGTTCGTTAAGGCAGCGGCCGCCCCCAGGTTTGTTAAGGCAGTGGCCGCCCCCAGGTTCGTTAAGGCAGTGGCCGCCCTCAAGTTCGTTAAAGCAGCGGCCGCCCCCAGGTTCGTTAAGGCAGCAGCCGCCCTCAGGTTCTTTAAAGCAGCGGCCGCCCCCAGGTTCGTTAAGGCAGCGGCCGCCCCCAGGTTCGTTAAGGCAGCGGCCGCCCCCAGGTTCGTTAAGGCAGTGGCCGCCCTCAAGTTCGTTAAAGCAGCGGCCGCCCCCAGGTTCGTTAAGGCAGCAGCCGCCCTCAGGTTCTTTAAAGCAGCGGCCGCCCCCAGGTTCGTTAAGGCAGCGGCCGCCCCCAGGTTCGTTAAGGCAGCGGCCGCCCCCAGGTTCGTTAAGGCAGCGGCCGCCCCGAGGTTCGTTAAGGCAGCAGCCGCCCTCAGGTTCTTTAAAGCAGCGGCCGCCCCCAGGTTCGTTAAGGCAGCGGCCGCCCCCAGGTTCGTTAAGGCAGCGGCCGCCCCCAGGTTCGTTAAGGCAGCGGCCGCCCCCAGGTTCGTTAAGGCAGCGGCCGCCCCCAGGTTCGTTAAAGCAGCGGCCGTCCCCAGGTTCGTTAAGGCAGTGGCCTCCACCAGGTTCGTTAAGGCAGCGGCCGCCCCCAGGTTCGTTAAGGCAGTGGCCTCCACCAGGTTCGTTAAGGCAGCGGCCGCCCCCAGGTTCGTTAAGGCAGCGGCCGCCACCAGGTTCGTTAAAGCAGCGCCCGCTCTCAGGTTCGTTAAATCAGCGGCCGCCGCCAGGTTCGTTAAGGCAGTGGCCTCCACCAGGTTCGTTAAGGCAGCGGCCGCCTTCAGGTTCGTTAAAGCAGCGCCCGCTCTCAGGTTCGTTAAATCAGTGGCCACCCCCAAGTTCGTTAAGTCAGCGGCCGCCCTCAGGTTCGTTAAGGCAGCGGCCGCCCCCAGGTTTGTTAAGGCAGCGGCCGCCCCCAGGTTCGTTAAGGCAGCGGCCGCCCCCAGGTTCGTTAAGGCAGCGGCCGCCCCCAGGTTCGTTAAGGCAGCGGCCGCCACCAGGTTCGTTAAGGCAGCGGCCGCCCCCAGGTTCGTTAAGGCAGCGGCCGCCCCCAGGTTCGTTAAGGCAGCGGCCGCCCCAGGTTCGTTAAGGCAGCGGCCGCCCCCAGGTTCGTTAAGGCAGCTGCCGCCCCCAGGTTCGTTAAGGCAGCGGCCTCCACCAGGTTCGTTAAGGCAGCGGCCGCCTTCAGGTTCGTTAAAGCAGCGACCGCCCTCAGGTTCTGCAAATCAGCGGCCGCTCTCAGGTTCGTTAAAGCAGCGGCCGCCCCCAGGTTCGTTAAAGCAGCGGCCGCCCCCAGGTTCGTTAAAGCAGCGGCCGCCCCCAGGTTCATTAAGGCAGTGGCCACCCTCAGGTTCTTTAAATCAGCGGCTGCCTCCAGGTTCGTTAAATCAGCGGCCGCCCCCAGGTTCGTTAAAGCAGCAGCTGCCCCCAGGTTCGTTAAGGCAGTGGCTGCCCTCACGTTCTTTAAATCAGCAGCCGCCCCCAGGTTCGTTAAATCAGTGGCCGCCCCCAGGTTCGTTAAATCAGCGGCTGTCCCCCAGGTTCATTAAGGAGCGGCCGCCCCCCAGGTTCTTTTAAGCATCGGCTGCCCTCAGGTTCGTTAAAGCAGCGACTGTCCCCAGGTTCGATAAGGCATCAATCACTCTCAGGTTCGTTAAATCAGCGGCCGCCCCCAGGTTCGTTAAATCAGCGGCCGCCCCCAGGTTTGTTAATGCAGCAGTTGCCCTAAGGTTCGTTAGAGCAGCGGCCACCCCCAGGTGCGTTAAGGCAGTGGTCGCCCCCAGGTTCGTTAAATCAGCAGCTTGCCTCCAAGTTGGTTAAATCAGAGGCTGCCCCCAAGTTCGTTAAGGCAGCGGCCGTCCTCAGGTTCGTTAAATCAGCGGCCGCCCCCAGGTTCATTAAATCAGCGGCCGCCCCCAGGTTCGTTAAATCGGCGGCCGCCCTCAGGTTCGTTAAATCAGCAGCCGCCCTCAGGTTCCTTAAATCAGCGGCCGCCCCCAGGTTCGTTAAATCAGCCGCCGCCCCCAGGTTTGTTAAGGCAGCTGCCGCCCGCAGCTTCGTTAAAGCAGTGGCCGCCCTCAGGTTCGTTAAAGCAGTGGCCGCCCTCAAGTTCGTTAAAGCAGCGGCCGCCCCCAGGTTCGTTAAAGCAGCGGCCGCCCCCAGGTTCGTTAAATCAGCGGCCGCCCCCAGGTTTGTTAAGGCAGCTGCTGTCCCCCAGGTTCGTTAAATCAGCGGCTGTCCCCCAGGTTCATTAAGGAGCGGCCGCCCCCCAGGTTCTTTTAAGCATCGGCTGCCCTCAGGTTCGTTAAAGCAGCGGCTGTCCCCAGGTTCGTTAAGGCATCGATCACTCTCAGGTTCGTTAAATCAGCGGCCGCCCCCAGGTTCGTTAAATCAGCGGCCGCCCCCAGGTTTGTTAAGGCAGCTGCCGCCAGCAGATTTGTTAAAGCAGCGGCAGCCCTCAGGTTCGTTAAAGCAGCGGCCGCTCCCAGGTTTGTTAAGGCAGCGGTCGCCCTCAGGTTCTTTAAAGCAGTGGTTGCCTTCAGGTTCTTTAAAGCAGCGGCCGCCCTCAGGTTCGTTAAAGCAGCGGCCGCCCTCAGGTTCTTTAAAGCAGCGGCCGCCCTCAGGTTCTTTAAAGCAGCGGCCGCCCTCAGGTTCTTTAAAGCAGCGGCCGCCCTCAGGTTCTTTAAAGCAGCGGCCGCCCTCAGGTTCGTTAAAGCAGCGGCCGCCCTCAGGTTCTTTAAAGCAGCGGCCGTCCTCAGGTTCGTTAAAGCAGCGGCCGCCCTCAGGTTCTTTAAAGCAGTGGCCGCCCCCAATGTTCATTAAAGCAGTGACCGCTAACAGGTTCTTTAAAGCAGTGGCTGCCTTCAGGTTCTTTAAAGCAGTGGTGAATAATGCACCAGGGAATAATATGAGTGAACAAGAATGGACCAGTGAATAACATGTGTGAATATGAGTATGAACAAGTAAAAAACATGAGTGAACAAGAATGAACCAGTGAATAACATGAGTGAACAAGAACGGACCAGGGAATAACATGAGAATGAACAATTGAATAACATGAGTGAACATGGAGTATGGGCCAGTGAATAACATGAGTGAACAAGAATTTGGACCAGTGAATTACATTAGTGAAAAAGAGTATGGGGCAGTGAATAACATGAGTGAACACCAGTATGAACAAGGGAAAAACATGAGTGAACAAGAATGGACCAGTGAATAACATGAGTGAACACAAGAATGAACAATTGAATAACATGAGTGAACAAGAATGGACCAGTGAATAACATCAATGAACAAAGTAGGATAGGATGAAAAATATGAATGAATAATATTACTCACTGCTTCCGGTGCTGTCTGCTAGTTCCTTCTGACCATCAAGCAGCCGTGTAGGCTATACATATATGTGACTGCTCAAGCAGCCATGTAGCCATAGGCTTATGCTGATAACATACCACACAATTACTTATTTCAAAAGCTTAAGTGTCTTTATTTCACAAAAGATTTTTGTAATTAATTTAAGTTTAAAATGTATTTTTTGGATCGTATTATACTTTCGTTTGAGTTATACAACACAGACGATAATCGGGAAGGTGGGAGCTTAAGAGCTTAAGCACGACCCAGTTATGGACTAGAGCCAGAGGAGCGACGCAACACCTTCCCCCGCGGCTGCTGGAGAAACACTGAAAGTGAGAGTTGTGTTCCTCCCACCTAGTGACCGAACGATATGTTCACAAATTATCGTTATTGTGTCAATGGCTTTCGGACGCTGGTGTCCACCTCGTAATTGGGTGACTACTTGTATGGTAATTCTCCCCTCTCTAATCTATTTGCTTTCATTCCGTGCTTGCAGATCATGGGTGAATATTGTAACTAATTTGAATAGGTTTTATATGGACAATTCATAGCAAATTCTTACTATATTCTAAATAGATTACGAAATTGTTCGAAACAATTTCGGAATTGATATTACGAATATATATATTTTACCAATATTAAGACATATATTGTAGTAGTTTCCTTGTTAACAACTACACCAAGGCCTGGGAAGGGACCAACATGTATAACAAACACACACTGTCACCCTGACATAGGGCTGGAGTTGCATCAGAGCGGCCGGCAGCAATTCCCTAAATGTTTCGCTCAAGGCGAGCGACTTGAAGTGTTCCACTTTCTCCCGCGCGCGGGCTTGGCCGCTTGAGTTAACACATATCGTCCCTTTTCATCATGTTTCGAACCAAAACAAAAAAGTTGCATAAACCTTCAGTCACTTTGCTTGATATTTTTGCAATTAAAACATATATATGTCTTTATCATTTATTGATACTAAATGCAGAGTAATGTAGGACAATGAGGAATATTACAAGAAAATGGATGAGACAACAGAGAATAAATGAAGCATTCTGGACATGAATGATAGTTACTGGTCTATGTCGTGTCCGTGGCTCTGACGTCATCGTGACGTCATGGGTGTAGCACTAGGCCAGCTGTGAGAAGTATTCCTGACCTGTGAGAAGTATTCCAGACCTGTGAGAAGTATTCTAGACCTGTGAGAAGTATTCCAGACCTGTGAGAAGTATTCCAGACCTGTGAGAAGTATTCCAGACCTGTGAGAAGTATTCCAGACCTGTGAGAAGTATTCCAGACCTGTGAGAAGTATTCTAGACCTGTGAGAAGTATTCCAGACCTGTGAGAAGTATTCCAAACCTGTGAGAAGTATTCCAGACCTGTGAGAAGTATTCCAGACCTGTGAGAAGTATTCCTGACCTGTGAGAAGTATTCTAGACCCGTGATAAGTATTCCAGACCTGTGAGAAGTATTCCAGACCTGTGAGAAGTATTCTAGACCTGTGAGAAGTATTCCAGACCTGTGAGAAGTATTCCAGACCTGTGAGAAGTATTCTAGACCTGTGAGAAGTATTCCAGACCTGTGAGAAGTATTCCAGACCTGTGAGAAGTATTCCAGACCTGTGAGAAGTATTCCAGACCTGTGAGAAGTATTCTAGACCTGTGAGAAGTATTCCAGACCTGTGAGAAGTATTCCAGACCTGCGAGAAGTATTCCAGATCTGTGAGAAGTATTCCAGACCTGTGAGAAGTATTCCAGACCTCTGAGAAGTCTTCCAGACCTGTGAGAGGTATTCCAGACCTGTGAGAAGTATTCAAGACCCGTTAGATTTATTCCAGACATGTGAGAAGTCTTCCAGTCCTGTGAGAAGTATTCCAGATCTGTGAGAAGTATTCTAGACCTGTGAGAAGTATTCCAGACCTGTGAGAAGTATTCCAGACCTGTGAGAAGTATTTCAAACCTGTGAAAATAATTCTAGACCTGTGAGAAAAATTTCAGACCTGTGAAAAATATTCCAGTCCTGTAAGAAGTATTCCAGTCACGTGAGAAGTATTACAGACTTGTCAGAAGTATTCCATACCTGTGAGAAGTATTCCAGACCTGTGAGAAGTATTCCAGACCTGTGAGAAGTATTCCAGTCCTGTGAGAAGTATTCCAGTCACGTGAGACGTATTCCAGTCCTGTGAGAAGTACTACAGACTTGTCAGAAGTATTCCAGACCTGTGAGAAGTCTTCGAGTCCTGTGAGAAGTCTTCTAGACTTGTGAGAAGTATTCCAGACCTGTGAGAAGTCTTCCAGTCCTGTGAAAAGTATTCCAGACCTGTGAGAAGTATTCCAGACCTTTGGAAAATATTCCAGTCCTGTGAGAAGTATTCCAGTCCTGTGAGAAGTATTCCAGACCCGTGAGAAGTATTCCTGACCTGTGAGAAGTATTCCAGACCTGTGAGAAGTATTCCAGACCTGTGAGAAGTATTCCTGACCTGTGAGAAGTATTCCTGACCTGTGAGAAGTATTCCAGTCCTGTGAGAAGTATTCCTGACCTGTGAGAAGTATTCCTGACCTGTGAGAAGTATTCCTGACCTGTGAGAAGTATTCCAGACCTGTGAGAAGTATTCCAGACCTGTGAGAAGTATTCCAGACCTGTGAGAAGTATTCCAGGCCTTGAAAAGTTTACATTACTTTAAATATTCAGACGTTTTAGGTCACACATTCAGTTGTTTTGAGTAAAAAATTAAGTTGTTTTGGGTCAATAATTATAATATCAATAATAAATATTGACAAACTCTCGACCAGTCACAAGAACAGACCAAGAATGTCGCTCAGTCACAAGAACAGACCAAGAATGTCGCTCAGTCACAAGAACAGACCAAGAATGTCGCTCAGTCACAAGAACAGACCAAGAATGTCGCTCAGTCACAAGAACAGACCAAGAATGTCGACCATTCACAAGAACAGACCAAGAATGTCGACCATTCACAAGAACAGACCAAGAATGTCGACCATTCACAAGAACAGACCAAGCCTGTCGACCAGTCACAAGAACAGACCAAGAATGTCGACCATTCACAAGAACAGACCAAGAATGTCGACCAGTTTGTAATCAAGTTTAATCTCTCCTTAAGGAATTCGACCTTCTTAAGCTGAGTCATCACTTTCTTCAAGCTTAGTTATTGTTCTCTAAGGTTAAGTGATTGTACTCTAAGATTAAGTCATTATACTCAAGGATTAAGTCATTGTACTCAAGGGTTAAGTCATTGTACTCTAAGGTTAAGTCATTGTACTCTAAGGTTAAGTCATTGTACTTAAGGGTTCGGTCATTGTCCTCTAAGGTTTAGTCATTGTACTCAAGGTTTAAGTCATTGTACTCAACTGGTAAGTCATTGTACTCAAAGGTGAAGTCATTGTTCTCCAAGGTTAGGTCATTGTTCTTAAGGGCTATGTGTCAGCCTTCAAATTGTAATACGGTAGGAGTATAGCCAATCACAGAGGCAGCTCGGACTCTGACGTCACTCCTCATAGAGCCCGGTGGTGCTCGCACTCAAGCAGGCGCCGGCAGTGTCTCACAGACCTAAGAGGCTAATGTACCCATTGCTCCTTTGTATAACCTAGATGATTTTGTTCAAATAAAGCGTAGACTAATGCAACTAGTCTTCAAGAAAATACAAGAACACTTGTCCAAGGCTACAGCTGAGTTTACTCGAGCAAGGAACACTCGAGCTAAGCCCAGTAAGATAACTGTTGGATCTGTAGTAATGGTCCTTAACCATTACAGGTCTGGCACTATGTACAAGCTAAGAAATTTGTGGGACCATATAAGGTAATAGAGCTTATCAAGGGGTAACAAGTACAAACTTTAAGAATTTGTAAACAAGAGAGTTTATAAATGAACACTTTGACCACATGAAGTTAGCTAAAATGACGCCCTCTTAAAAAGAACGTCGCTTTTGGCCGTTTGCCCGTATGGCCGAATTTGGACGTAATTTGAAAATGAAAATAAATTTGGGATTTTTTTTCAACAACAGTAAGTTAAGGGTCCTCTGATAGGTTAGGTGGGCAGGAAATTCTCATAAAGTTTCGAAACGTTATGAAAAACGTTAATTTAAAGTGTCCTCTTATAACCTCTGCGCGTACGCCGGACGACTCAATAGAAAACGGAATAGAACGTCACTTTTGTGAGTAGATTTCATTTCAAATTACGTCCAAATTTGGCCATAGCGCGCATTCGAGCCAAAAGTGACGTTATTTTTAAGAGGACGGGTTGAGCGATGAGACTGATGCGGAAGATGACAATGACCCTACCCAGGCGGATGCTTCTATTGGGACACCACCTACTGTGGTTGACAGCCCACTTGACGTAGAGCTACCCCAGGCCAGCACCTATGATCTTAGATCTAGACCTTTCGTCTCAACCGTGCACTCACCACACGTCCATTGGCTTGATGTTAATGAGATTAACTACACAGGTGGGAGCTGGTCACATGTTGTTTCATTTGTTCCTGACATTAAGTCAGAGCCAGTGTTGTATAGTGCTCTTGATGAACTAGGTGTTATCTTGAGGTTATCTTGAGATAATTTCGGGGCTTTTTAGTGTCCCCGCGGCCCGGTCCTCGACCAGGCCTCCACCCCCAGGAAGCAGCCCGTGACAGCTGACTAACACCCAGGTACCTTTTTTACTGCTAGGTAACAGGGGCATAGGGTGAAAGAAACTCTGCCCATTGTTTCTCGCCGGCGCCTGGGATCGAACCCAGGTGTTAACATTTGCAGAATCTATAATTAAGTGCATTCTTCAGTTATCGTTCTGTTTTTGTTTGGCCAAGCAAGAAAACTTCGTCTCCTGGACGAAGGAGTTCTCTTGTTTGTTGCCTTACTCCCCAGTACCTCTACCCCTATGTGTCCTATTATTGCTGTATAATGCAATGTATATACGTCTTTCATCTTTGTTTTGTGTCCTAATTATATGCCATTGTTAAGTCTACTGTGCCATTTGTCTTTTTACAGTGCATGTCATCAAGAGTTCCATTAATGTTCTAGCAACCACACTGAGGCCAGTGATTCCTGTATGCTATCACTAAGATGTTAGCCTTCTCAGTCCAGTCCTTGTAAATATCTTGTAGATATTGTACATATTTGTTTTCCTGTTATCTATTTATAAATTCATCGTGGTTGTTAGGTCATAACTCTTGTTCCATTAATTCAGACAATTGTCTTTCATTATTTCCATGCACATGTCTTTGACACATGATGTTGATAATTTAGTTTTAAGCATTACTTTTTTACCTACGTATTGTTCATACCTGATGCTTAGACATGCATATGTTCTTCATGCTCTTGTTCCAGTTAATGCATTGTTACCATGATCTTTCACTGAGTAAAATTATGTCCTAATTTTTGTGAACATACCGAGCGGTGTCAGTATTAACGCACACCCGATCTGTCTTTTAATGTGTAATCTGATATTTTACATGGAAGTAATTATTGTATGCCACCGAGGCCCTTCAGAATCTATGTACAGTATTAGCTAATTGTATCTTCTGATTTGTGTTTATGGAGGGATAACGTTCCTATCAATAACATCTTTCAGGACACTTTCCTCTGTTTTATGAGCCGTCGAAAAGAAGGGTTGCCATGAGTTCTCTCCTAGGTAACCTGTTTGCGAATTTTTACATGGGTACCATAGAGCAGAGGCTCTTAGTTGACATGGAGATATACCTGTTAATGTATCTTATATTGAGGTTATCTTGAGTTGATTTCGGGGCTTTAGTGTCCCCGAGGCCTGGTCCTCGACCAGGCCTCCACCCCCAAGAAGCAGCCCGTGACAGCTGACTAACTCCCAGGTACCTATTTCCTGCTTGGTAACAGGGACATAGGGTGAAAGAAACTCTGTCCATCGTTTCTCGCCGGCCCCCGAGATCGAACTCGGGAATACAGGATCACGTGCCAGCGTGCTGTCCGCTCGGCCGGCCGGCCCCAAAAAAACATTATTGCCAACAGCATTTGGTGTTCCCAGGCGGTCACCCATCCAAGTACTAACTAAACCCAACGTTGCTTAACTTCGCTGATCGGACGAGAAGTGGTGTTCTTAACGTCTTATGGCCGTTGGCATACCTGCCATATACGTCATATGTCGCCATAACACCTTAAAAGAGACCAACGTCGTCTATGCCTTCACATGCCCACTTGAGGACTGTCAGCCCTAAAGATCTCAGTATATAGGCAAGACAGCAACGTCTCTCTCTCTAGGCGATTAACAATGCACAAGCAACAGGCCGGCTCCATCAAGGAGCATATAATCTCCTCACATAACTAGACCATCACCAGAGAAATCTTAACAAGCAACACAGAAATTATCGACAGGTACAACGACAACAGAAGACTGGACATCAGCGAGGCCCTACACATCAAAAAAGTCAAAACCAGCAATCAACAGCCAATTAACACATAATTACATTCTACCCACTTCAAGACCCCGAACTACCACAGAAATAGTAGAAGCAAGAACATAGAACCTGCAATTGCCTATTAATATCCATTATGCACTTGTTCACCTCAATCATGTGTTGTATCTCCTCACCCCAAGCGAATATAAGGAGTGCCTTGCGAAACGCTTCTCTTAGGCATCAGACCATAAATATAGTTCATTTTTCAACTTCCCTCGACAATGAAGATTGTGACGATAATCTCCTTCAAGAGATTGAGCCTGCTCTTCCCTCCACAATTACGTCGTTGAAAACTATATAAAACTACTATGGAAGAAATGTCCAACAACGACAACAACACCAGCAAGGTTTGCCAGAGCGCAAAACGTTGCAGCCAGAGACACCTGTTCAGACTCAAACCGCCAAACTACCTGTTGATCGCTACCGGCTCCGCTGATTGGTCGCCGGCCGGGCTGCAACTGCACTCCACCCCCCCATACTACTTGATGTCTGGGGTCGCCACGACCTCAGACCTCAGAATATTTAGTGCTTTCGCAGTTATCACTCCTCCCGGCTAGACGTTAGCGTGTACTGAGAGAGGTGGTAGCTTAAAGCCAATATTCCAGCACCTCCCTTTAATTTTGTGTTGCACTTCTTGTTATTTTATCTTAACGTAACTTTTCATTGTGTCATTTAATTATTCTTATTATTTTGATTGATTGATTTTATTATAAGAATTTGTTTGTCCATTTTTTCATGTTTTGATTTATTTAACGTAATTAAAATTTCATTGTTAAAATTTACTTGTGTTTTGTGTGTCTTCTCCTTACCTTACCACAGACGAAGTTCCAGTTTTTCTTTTTTTTTATAACTATGTGACGAGGCCATACCCCTAGCCTTAAACAGCCGAACACCAACGCGTTACCGTCACAAGTTATATGGGGGCCTGTCCTAGGAGCTTCACTCAGGTACTGGTGCCAAGTGGTAATTTATGGTAAGCGTATTTAACTTTGTTAACGTAGCTTTACTATTTTTCATATTCAATTTCATTTTTTATAAGGTGCGGTGTATTGTGCATTACGAGAGTAACATATAGTGAAGGTGAGACAACTTTGGATTACGTGGTGACTGTAGGCCGCAGTCATACTCTTAATTGGTCATCTCTCCCTCCTTGTTATTACTCGTGTTTACCATCTATGTCCCTTGAATATTTCTCATTTTGACAGATCATCATATTGGTACCCTGGTACTGTGGTCTGCCCCGGGTCAAGAGTACCCAATCTTCTGCAATCTGACTGTAGGAGGACAAAGAGGGCCATAGTTCCTCTAGCTCGAACTTTAGTTGCTGAATTGGGACCTCAGCAGCAGTTCTCGTCACCAGTTGACACCTCGCACCCCTACACGTCAGTCAGAGATGATGATACATACAACGGTAGGGAATTAGCTTACTTTTTCAGAGCACAAAAGTTCGCTAATTCTGTAAGTATCATATTAAATTCAGTAGGAAAAACTTGCTTTATGTCCTATAGAGACGTGGCAAGGTATGCCTACATCCTTGGACTACCAATTTTACTTTTGAGACAATTTACTGTTTCATTTGTTTTCGAAACTCTGTTTCATTTGTTAGTAGGATTTTCTTGCCCTTATCCTCTTACATGAGTACCGGGTACAAGATTTCCTGCGCCCTTGATTTAATTTAATCATTTAACATCTTTTACTTAACTTTAA